CAGACGTGTGCTCTTCCGATCTCCCCAAAACCCCAAAACCCCATGAGAGTAATTTGGATAAGAAAAATTGAAAGTCTAATGGTTTTAGTTTATAAAGGGTTCTTTTATGTTTTAATACGAGAATTTGGGTCTGTACAGCAAAATGACGATATTTTAATATACGAGAATTATATCTCTAAGCCCACTCAGAATTAAGTAGTAACTCAGAATTTTTCAGCGAGCATGCATCTAGTCGATCCACCTCCGACAAGCTCTATCATGTCTATATTTGCGACTAGAACTATATAGTTTTCTTGTAATTCTTAGAACTTTTCTGGATCATAAGTCCTTCTGGCTCTGTCTGACATGATAATACAATTTCTTCCCTCGCTATCTACTAGATTAAACATATTAGCACACATTCCTTCTACTTCATGCCTATCGATTTCTAAGATTTGGTAAGGTTTGTTATTAATTGGTGGATTTGAAAGTTCAATCAGAACTCTTTTTCTCTCTTTTTTGTCTTTTATTGCTGTAACACAAATAACAGCATGATCATTGAGCAGAGTTAGAATACAATCAGTATGATATACGATGTTTCCTTTTCTATCATAGCTGGTAAAAGTCACAGATCTGTATTGTTTCTATGAGATTTTATTCCACTATACTATCAGGTCTGCAACAACTTCACCGCATGCTCTTGGTGATCTAATAAAAACTGTTAAAATCGAATTCATAAAAACAAAATCTACTAATCTGTCACTAATACAGAATAGATTGATTTTTTAGAGAAAAAATCTTATTTTTCGAAAATGTAACTTACAATGAGCAATAAATCTTTTGATTCCTGTAGTCGAAGACCAATGATCCTTTGCCCTCAAGTGCTTTGCCTTTCTCTTCCCATCCTGAGAGATCGATAAAATGTTTGTAGTTCTTGGAAAGTTCCTCTATAATTTCTTGATCTCTTTCTAGTTATCTAGAATGATGCTTCATGGGATATAGGATAAAAACTCCTTCTGGGATGTCATCATTCTTGTGTGTGGTGAACCAGTCTGGGAATATAGCGTCAGGAGCTCTTGAATCTTTTTTCGCGAATTCTACCACTTTGATTCCACCGCTTTAAAGGGTTTCTTTAAATTTATCAAATTCAATTTAGGCCTATTAAAGAAAATGTAAGAGGAGAAACCTTAAGGATGAATACTTACGAGGTCATTAGTGCTTTGTCTCTTCAGCCCAGAACTTTTCATAAATTTATTGTCTGTTTGACAATCTTCGTTCTCATAAAACACTTCTGGTCTAATTACGACAACTTCATTAGTAAAGGTAGGGAGTTGCTTCTTGTCAGTCTCTGTGCTGTCTTTTGATTTAGTTGATCTTGTTTCGTCCATACTGTTGGTTGAACTGAAGCTCTCGCAAGAAGATTACTTGCTGAGCATTGAGTCCACCTACAAGTACTAGGTGTTATTACGTTAATTATCTTGATTTTCCATAAGCTTTTAGGCAAATTTACTTATTTATATAGGAACTTGATCTTTAATTTATTATATTTAAGTCTTTTATAATCATTAATACATTTTCTCACTATTAAGTAAATTTTAAAACATTATTTGCTCTCGGGGTTTTGGGGTTTTGGGGAGATCGGAAGAGCACACGTCTGAAC